GAGCATAGTTCTTGTTTTTCAGGTATAAAGGAGGATTGTTTCTGGTCAGCATCCTCATTGATGTTAGCTTCTATGGTTGTCAAACTGTTGCTAGAATTGTTAAAGATATGTTTAAGTTTGCTTTTCCAAGGCAGCTTTGGATCCTTTCCATGTTGACAAAGCTCTTTGTTGGATGATACTGGTGCTATGTTCAAAAGCAGATAAGTCCATCAGTTGAGCTGTTTTACTCATTAATTTGTTTGAAAGCTCCTGACTGTGACCATTCTGGCTTCTTCATTATCTTTCTCTCCCATTCACCCCCACTTGCTATGAAAAATATAACCAATAAAATGTATAATCAACCTTACTTTTCCATATAATATCACAATTTGCCCTTGATATTAATTCCTTTGATTTTCTTCAAAACCAAAGAACCTACCCCTATCAGCCCAAGTTTTGCCTCTTTAAGGATTTTGTAGCATAATTGAGACTTTCTTCACTTACAAAATGATTTGGACTTTGTTCTAAGGCCCAATATATATGGTTCAATAATTGTTCTAAGCCCAATTATTTTTAATATATTATATATATTAATATATATAATACTTTTTATATATAAAAAGAAGAATTGATAGTAAATATAATAAATAATATATTTTAAATATATTAATTTATTATATGTATGTATGCAAATCATAATCATAGTAATTTAATTTTAATTACATATTTATTTATAATTTATAGTAATATGAAACTACAAGTTATATATTTTAAATTATATAACTTATATGTTAATATTATAATATATGATAGTAAATATTCTATATATTAATATATTGTAATTATTACACTTTGGTAATGGTTCGTAATATAAAATGTTATGAATATATATATAAAATTGTATGAATATTATATATATTTAATTTATATATAAGCATTACTATAACTTATAATAAACTTTATTTATATGATTATATTTAATAATCTTCTTAATTATCACTTTAATTTTTATAAAATATTATTTATAGTTAGTTATTATTTATATAAATTTTTCTATAAAATATTATAATATAAAAATTATATCATTAATTTCATATATACATAATAAAGTAATATATTATACATATACATATATTTAATTTATACGTAAACAATACTATAATTTATAATAGACTTATTTATATGATTACACTTAATAATTTTATTAGTTATTGCTTTAATTTTTAAAATATACTGTTTATAATTAGTTATTATTTATACAAACTTTGATATAAAAATTAAATTATTATAACATATAAGTTGTGTCATTAATTTCATATATATAATAAAATAATATATTATATATATGCATATATTTAATTTATACATAATTTATATATTTTATAATTATTGATGAAGTTTATAAGTTTTAATATTATAATTTGTAAAAAAATGATAAATTTAATCCATTGGTCCAAAACCAAGTTGACCAAACCAATTTTATGTTCGGTCATTTTTCTAAAAATGTTTGATAAATTTGGTTCTTAGATATGATGGACCAAATCACCTAATTGACTCATTTGCTGACCCCTAATAAAAACAACTATCTCTGTAAATTTCTCTTCTTTTTTTTTTAATATTTTAAAAAAATTTTAAATTATTAAAAAAATATTTATTTATTCTTTTATTGCATGCAATTAAATTTTTATATTAGCTATCATTAGTCAAAATATCATTTATTATTTTATATTTATATAATGTTGATGTGGAATGTAAAAATGTCACATGATCTACTCATATCATAATGTAAAATCAGCATGGTACATTATCATCTACTATAATATATTAGTATATCACATCAGTGTTATGTAATATATAATAATAAATGTCATTTTATCTTATCACAATTAATCAATCATTAATTGCAATAAAAAATTAAAAAAATAAGTTTTTAAATAACCAAAAGTACATTAACCCAAACTTAGTATGAAAGAATACATATTGAATTTTAACTTTAGCTTGGATTTGTTACCTAGCTTATGGGTGCATATAGTTAACAAATGACAACAAGTTTAATACACAACTTTCTATATGATTAAGTTTTCTTGTGTCATTACAAGTATCAAATTAAATTACATCTAAAAATAAATAAAATATATTTTTAATTCTAAGTCATTGAGACATAATATTAAACAAATAAATAAAATCTTTTGCGTATGCTTCGGCTTAAATTTGTATCATAATATATGAAAAAAAAATCAAATCAAATTGAAATAGTAGTAAACAAAGAACAAAAACTTCAATGCAAGCTAAATGAAATTCAAGTGTGAACCTATCAATAAGAAGTATTCCAATCTAATTTTTAATTAGAGAGATTTGAGTTTTTTTTTTTTAAATAGGAAAAGATCATTCTAATTAATAAATTAAAAATTTAAATTAATGTTTGAGTACAAATATTGTTGTATTAAATTATAAATAAATTAAAAAAGAATAGATGAAATCAATGCAGATGATGTGGGCCCAAAAAAGAACATAAATTCCTCATTGAAGAGCACCAAGTACGAACGGAAGATTTGCTGTCCTATTAGGAGTTTCGATGTTGACAAGGTGAGTTGCTGCACTCTCCTCCATTTCTTCATCCCTATCCTTCCTTCTTTCCTTCCAAGTTTCAACCATTTCCCAACTTTAGCTTTGTCCTTTTCTTTTTCTCGGGTAATTCTTTCTTTTCCTTTTTCATGACCTTTTTTTTTTCACTTAAACGGGTATTCGGTTTGGTTGCTAAGAAAACATTAAAAGGGTATTGATTCTTTTTGTTTTATGCTGGATTGTTTCCACGGAAAAGAATATTTTTTTTCAGTTCAAGTTGGCCGAAGCTCTGTTGCCTGACCACCTCGGGTGCGAAGTTTTTATTTTCTTTTAGTTTCCTACTGTTTCTCTGGAACCAAATAGTGCATGGTTTTGTTTTTCTTTCAGTTCATCGGAAAAGTGAATTTTTTTAAAGGTAATTGAGGTTCTGATTGATGTGTTTGGTTATCTTGGGCTAATGATTAATGGGTTCTCTCTGTTCTTTTTTTTTGGTTAGTCTAAAGTAGTAGTAGTATATTCTCATAGTGAGAATTACCCAGTTAAAGTTAGCCAATTAATGCTATTTTTATGCTTAATTTATTGCATGCGCATCTCCAGTTCAACCTTTTGGTTCTTTCTACCAATCAAAGTGTACGTAATTTGAATTCTGATTGATGGTGTTTGGTTATTTAGGGATACTGAATAGTGGGTTTTTCTTTGTTTGCTTAACAATTTGTAGATTTTATTAGTGAGACGCAATGGGGAATGCTTCATCAATGCTAACTCAATATGATATTGAAGAAGTTCAAGACTACTGCCATAATCTATGTAGGTTTCTATATGCTTTCTTTTCTGGACTGGTTCTTCCATTTGGTTGTTCTCTAATCCAAATTTTGATGTGTTCTGGCTGTGGGGATGCAGTCTCTCAGCAAGAAATTGTTTCATTGTATCAAAGGTTTTGCCAGTTAGATAGAAATGCAAAGGGATTTATATCTGCTGATGAGTTCTTATCGGTTCCAGAGTTTGCTATGAATCCTCTCTCTCAGGTAGTCTTTCGAGTTGAGTTGTTTTTGGAGTAATTAATTGAATTCTGGGATTTGACTATAAATTCATGCTTGAATGATAATGCTTGTGTGCTGTCTTAGAGTTTTACGTGAAGGTTTGAGTTTCTTTTATTGATCTCTTGGATTTGTTGCTTACAGAGGCTGCTTAAGATGGTGGATGGTTTGAACTTTAAGGACTTTGTAGCCTTCTTGTCAGCTTTTACTGCCAAAGCAAGTATAGAGCAGAAAATTCAACGTGAGTCTTCACCGACTTTTCTGTAGATTGATCGATTTTTTTGGTTTGGATGCAATTGAATATTGAATCAATGGTCAAAAAGTAAAGGGTTATGGATGATTTCTTTTTGGGTTGCCTTTTTTTATATTTCTCTGGCTCATTAAAGTTGTTCAAATGTTTTGAAGTTATTTAATGTTAGTATTTATTTTCTGTCTCAGTTATCTTCAAAGTGTATGATTCTGATGGGAATGGAAAGGTGTCTTTCAATGACATACTCGAAGTGTTGCGTGAGTTGTCTGGTTCATATATTTCCAATGACCAAAGAGAGGTAAAACCAAGGACTTTTACCTATTGGTACTTGTTTCATCATTATTTCCTAAAAATAAAAAAGAAGAGATGTGGAGGTGACTGTCAGCATACATGTGCATATTCGCATAACCATTATGCATAAATTGACCTATTTGATTTTACTGATACTATACATGATGAGATAATTGAGTACACCCTTGCTGTTTTGCATACTAAATGACAATTAAAACATCTCTTATCATTTTTGTTAGCAATATTGCATTATGTTGGAAATGATAAATGAAAATACCTGTCATGGAATAAGCAACAATAAGAGGATAATCATGGTGCAGAAATTCAAATTAGTCTGTGTGTAATAAAATATGTTACTTATTCTTTTTTATCTGAATTCAAATAACTTGGAAGAGGAGAAAGAAAGTTATTGTTAATTTTCTACAATTTTTTATCTTAAGTGGATCTCATTGTAGGAATTGAACCCAGTTGGTTTTTTGACTATCTACCAGAAAAAGGAAAAAAGAAATAATGGATCATTCTGCCCACCTATGGAGTAAAAAAAGAACAAACTGATCCGTAGGCTCCCTTAAAATTTCTTTATTTTCTTTTGAAAGCAGATGACTCTCTTTTTCTGTGAATAACCAGTGTGTTAAGGAATCTTCGTAAAGGCTTTTACATGATTGGTTTGATTGATTTTCACATTCAGTCAATCTATTTTGGAGAAAGAAAGGATTCAAAAGAATTATTGTAGCTGCACATTCTGTTCTCATTTTATCTTTATAAGTCATGAGCATCTTCATTATTAGTTTAATTTGAAATGGCCTTTAAACTGATGAGAAGATTCTTTTAATTGGGCTATATTTCAGACTTGAATAGTTTTCTTTAGTTATCTAACAAAAACCCCTCATAAGAATAATTATATTGCAGAAGTTGACTGATTAAACATTTGAAAGAAATAATTTAATGTTTTTTAACTCAGATTTCTCAGTGTTTTAGATTGAGGCTGTTGATGAATATGCCTGCTTTAGTTTATAAGCCCAGCCAACTCTGATTTCATGAAAGATATGAAAATCTGATGATCAAAGATGTATCAGTCATTTAGTGGTTTGCATCATATAAGTCTCTTTGGCTGTCGCCGTTAAGTAGTGCATGATTAAGATTTCTAATGCATGCTATATATATAAGATTTTCAAATGTCCAACATTATTCTGTAATTTATAGAATTAGATATTTCCATTTCAATTTAGTCTCACAAATTTGGCTATAAGATTACTTTTAAATGGGATAGTTTGTTCTGTAGTTTCTAAGGATAGCATCCTATCTTTTGTTGTCTCTGTCTCTCTGAGTTATTTTCATTAACCATACCTTGGATCATTACAAAGAATAACTGCATCATAGTTTAAGCCAGTTATTTTATGCATCTGTTCCTTGAGAAAATCACATGGTTACATAGATTTGAGTGGAGTATAACAGAACACATTGCCCTTTTGTTCTTTCTCTTGCAGCAAGTCTTGACCCAACTTTTGAAAGAAGCAGGTTACTCAAGGGACTCTTACCTAATGTTGGATGACTTCATTAAGGTACTTTACATTCTATCTTATATTTATTATAACTATTCATTAAGAAATCTTATAAAAAACTTCTTTCCATCCCCGGCTAACTATATTCAAATGGCTTTTCTACCATTCCTGGCTGACAATATTGAGATGGCTTGTCTGTTCTGTTTCCTTTCTCTCTCTCTCTCTGTCTCTGTCTCTGTGTGTGTGTGTGTCTCTCTCTCTAGTTATAGTCACAATTGTACAATGGTAATCTCATATTTTTTAGACAATGGAACCCAGGATGATCCATTTCATAAGGTATTAATCATTTTAACTTAAAATTCCACAAATCCAGATGACTGGCTTAAGAACTCAAGAGCAACTGAAATACGTCAGTTTCTTCTTGTTGCATTATCATGAGAACACAATCACATGATACAATCTCAATAGCCTTAAGCAGCTTTCAACAATCATGCCAAGGAAGCCAGGCTTATAAGTCTTGGAAGGGCTGAACCACTTCTATATTTTGATGCATAGTTATGTGAAGCATCCTTAAACCACAGGAAGAGAACAATACTTATAAGTTGTTTCCTAATCCATTTCCATTTTCCTTACATTGTGTTGGATGCTTATAATAGAACAGAATCAGGGAGAAATTTCCATTTTTCTTATAAATGATATGCTTACTTGGTGGATGAATTCCAGTAAAAATCAGTTTTAAGTAAAATTTTCCTGATTATTTTGTTTTTAGTTGCCTTACTTTGTATCAGATGTACTTACTAATATACCAACCCTAGGCTAGAATTCCTTGCCTAAATAAAACTTAAATCATTTTGCATTCTCTTGATTGATTCTTTGGCAGTAAGGATTTAGAAGTAGAGACCCAAGTTACTGGATATCTTCTTGCTTTTGACTATACAACTTTGGGTTCTATGCTTGACATCTCTCTTCCTCTTTCTCTCTCTGGTACAATTGAACGAAACCAAGTGGGGAGAGAGCATTGAATCTGGGACCTTGACGTTACATTAGATAAAAAGCAACAACTACTATGCCAAGTTCAAGTTGTTTTATACTTTAAGTTACATTTTCTGTTGATCAAAATAGAAAATATGAGTTCTTAGCATTATGGGGACTAGATTTTCTTTTCTGTTTTTGCCAACATTTTTGAAGGTGTCTATGGGTTGAGTGACTTAAGCCTGGACGATGGCTGTGTAAAAGGAAGCTGACAGTCTGACACTTGAGATATAAGGGGAGGTTAATTGAAGCTTCAATGTTGCCATCTTTCTGCAATGAGCAACAAATTCATATGATGTTGTAATGTACATCTATGGGATCAATTGACTAACAACTAGAGATGACAGTGTATAAGGAACCCAATAATTTTGCTCTTCTGATAAGAGCAGAGGAGTTCAAGAATGTTTACATCTTTTGCAATTAAGCAAAAATGCTGGAATTCTGATGTGATTTAAGAAACATTTAGAAGGGTCTATGGTGATCTGCTCGTTATAACATTGCCAAAGCTCTTTTTATGGTATAGCTTCGAATTACTGTTGAGAAGCAGGGTTACTCCTGTTTGCACGACCATCCTAATTTAGATGATATTATGCAATCGTTGTATTTCTGACCTAGGTTTCACTTGTTGTTTTGGTTTTGCTTAAATAATCTTCTTTCCTTCAAATATGGATATTTTAATTGTCGTTGCTTTGTATCTGGCACAGGTTTTTGGGAGTTCTGGACTTAAAATGGAGGTTGAAGTTCCTGTTGATTAAGCTAATTCATGCAGTCTTTCCCCTGGATGACTGGAGACGAATAATTGCATGCATCATAATTCATAGTAGAGAAACACATTTTAGGCATACATAAATACACCCATACCATGTTCCTAACCTCAGTGACAATAAATAATTAGCCACATATGTATTAAAAATAAGTTCAGTTTCTGTAAATGGTTGTGTATCTTCGAAAGTTTTCAAGTCTCTTAGATGCGTGATTTAGCAGTTCAAGGTTCATGTTTCCTTGTCCTGCTTCTCCATCACATGCTTTACCTATTTGAGTGATTGCACTTTCTTGGGCAATTGAGAGAACTGTATAGTTGAACAGTATGAAGGCTCATGATTTCAGACTGGACCGGATGTAACGAAACCAACAGGTTGTTTGAACTCTCTCCTGAAAAATCATATGACAAAGTCATGGTAATTGACACCATCTGATGGCTAAGAATGCTCGATAAGTTGGACGTCGGGTTTTGTTTATGGTTGGGATAGAACCATGAGGGAGAAGTAGGGGTAATTACCCAGATGTCTGTGGTCCTATAGATGTAACTCGTAAGCTACAAGCAGTCAGGCCAAATCTTGTGCTTGAATAGAACCAAAATTCCTCTTTAAATTGCCGACCATATAACTTCCAGTTAAACGATGCCGACATTGCTCACCTGCGGTAACTGGGACAAATTATGAGAGTGTGACATTCCCCTTGCAAGTGCTTGGCAATTTCTTGTTAACTTCTCTGCCACTCTTTCTGAAAAACTCAAAAGCAAAGAACGACCTCTCAAATGAAACTATGTCTTCTGATGCACACTCTCCTTGCTGCAGTTGCAAACTCTCTTAGAAGACAAGCAAAAGGGAAACATTCTTTTGAAAAATGATCTCCATGTCCTTAGACATTTCTCTCTCTGGTAAGTAACCATCATCACTAATCTATCATGTTCTCCATTTACTATGATGGTTGTACATTCACACTTGGTGAAGTTATTCGTGAAGAGAATTGCTAAAAATACATGCCATAAAGCAGTCTATTACTAAACTTTTTCTAATGTTATTTTCCCTAACCTTTATGTTGCCTTTCAGGATTGCTCACCTATGTGCTTGCTTATTTCACAGAAAGTGTTGTTTCCGTCCTTTGTAAACTGATAGACCAGGGTCGAGCATCCAACATATTTGAAACCCAAAGTTCAAATTCCAGTAAGCTTCTGCAAGAAATTCTAGCAAGGAAGAAGATAGAACTTGTTTCATCTGAGATGGAATTGGATTCTTCAAGAAAGAAGTTATTAGAGTTCAAGAATTTCAAGGCAGCAGCAAGCAGTAACAAGCATACAACAACTAGCAACCAGTCAATTTTCAAGTTTAAGAATGAAGGGGCTTCAAGTTCGAAAGAGGTATCTCGAGTCCCAAGTTATCCAAGAAGTAAGATCTGCAGCAGCTTTTGTAAAGGTAAGGGAGTTGTACTGCAGGCTAGTGAAGCTGAACAACTGAACACACGATTGAAGATCCTTGAAGAAGAAAATGAAATAATGAAGCTAGCACTCTTAGAGACAGCCATGGAAAGGAAAGAATTGGTTAACGAAATATGTCATCTGTTTCAGACACTGCAACACTACAGCCTCCACCATAAAGATGAAGAGGATGGACACAGATCCAGCTATGGATCTTTGATCCTCAAACCTTCTAAGGTATTGCATTTTGAGAACCAATATATACATGAATTCATATTGAATATGGCATTGTCAGTTTATCGCTGTTTTTTAATGGCATGGTAGCACTACCTTCCTTTCACAATAAACATGGAAACCATCTAATTGACAGTGATTTTGATTCCCACGGTGTTAAACAGGGTGGAGGAACCGAGTCGAGCGGTGTGTCACAACTTCAGTTGGAAAATCAAGGTTCTGAAGATCCTAAGGCCAATATATTAGCGATTCTTGATCAGTGTTACACATCTACTTAGAGTTAATTGTTGTGTAGATCAATTTACATTTCATCAACTATCATGACTGATATGCTCAAGTAGTTTCCAATCTTAAGAAACTCTATGACAGAAGTAACAATGAATTTAATTTAAGATTTCCCCCAAATTTCTCCTAGAACCTGCATCAGGTCTCAAAGGTGAACAACCTTTGGCAAATGAAACAATGTATGTAAAGGAAGTCAGGTAAAATAAATCCATAACCTCGGAAGAAAGATTGGCTCTTAGGGCGGATGTCGGTGAACTGCTTCCGCAACGAGAGTGAGTCATTGCATGCCAATCGAGGATGGTTAGTAACGGCTCCCCTAAAAACGACTCAAATGGAGGTAGGGTCTAGTGATCGAAAGAGTTGCATGATATATGAGGCATCTTCAACGATCTTTAAAAATCTAGAGATGTATTTTATTATTTAAACGATGTTTTTATATATTTTATTATCTCGTAAAAAATTAAAAAATTGTTTAGATTAAATTCAACTAACCCCTTATCTTCGTGTATGAAAACCGCACATCTATGCCTTAGTCAAATACGTTATTTTGAAGTCTTTTACGTTCTTGAAAACTTTAATTATAAATATCTTTTGAAACCTTTTTCTCTATAAAAGAAAGTTAAAAAATGATGCAGTTTTAGAGAAAAAAAGAAAAAAATAAGAAAGAAAAACAGAGAAAAAAAAAAAAAGAAACACAAATAATATATAACTATAAGTAAAGGCTTAGATGTGGTGGTAAATGTCTTGATATACTTGCTAGAGTACATAATGTTTTGAAGAATAAGAGCATCATCTTTTAGCCTCATGATACTGTCATGTGTCAATTCCTTAACGTGTCATGTAATAATTCAAATATAAAAGATAACGTGATATTGTCATATCAGCAACTCAAACTTGAAATGTAATGTGACATTGTCACGTCAGTATAAAAAATGATGTGACATGACCTCGTTAATGTGTTAAAGTTACAAAACAATACCACGTCAACATTAAAATTCGAATTGTGGTATAATATTGTCACGTCAACAATTAAAATCCATTTCATATGACACGTTAGCATTTGATGTTACGTTAATATTAACGTCAACACCAATTTAAACGAAAAATATTAAAAAGATTAAATTAAAATAATTTTTAAAATAAAAAAAATTAAAATATCATGATTTTTACTATTGAGATTAAATTAAAAAAATACTTTAATATAGAGACTTTTAAAATATTTTAATCATTTTATTATCTCGTTAAAAGTTGAAAAATTGTCTAGATGAAATTCAACTAACCCTTTATCCTCAGTATATGAAAACCACACGTCTATGCCTCAACCAAATATGTCTCAAAATGAAAAATGAAAAATGAAAAAGAAGAAATGAAAAGATTTTCGAAGAGTGCTCTTTAAAGATCAATATGAAAGGAGGATATGAGAACTCTGCCAAGTGCATGCGACTCGGGCCTGGGACACTCCCCATTAGCACTTATTCTAGAGCATCTTATCCAGTATCCACCAATCTTGAGGCTAAAACGAAACTAAACTAAACTAAACTAAACCCAACTCGATGATACGTTACATCACACCCACCCCAACGATGTGGAAAAGCCTGTTCCCCGGAGCATGGATCAAAACAAAACTACCCCAAATCAATCCTAGTACCCAAGTTTCCAACTTCACCCTCAACTCCCATACCCAAATGGAAGTGGAAGTAAAGCTCCGGCTCCTAAACTCCAACTCTCACCAGAAACTGTCTAATCTCCTCTCCGGTTTCCACACGAAAACTCTCATCCAAGAAAACATCTTCTTCGACACCCCAAAAACCACTCTGGCTTCCAACAACGCCGCCCTCCGTCTTCGCTTCTACAACCTCGACTCTTACTCCATCCTCTCCCTCAAATCCAATCCCAAACTCTCCCAAGGCATTAGTCAAGTCGAGGAACACGAAGAGCCCATCGACCCATCACTCGCCCGCTCTTTCTTGGCCAACCCAGGAGGTTTGTTGCACTGGACAAGCTCTTCCCAGATAATGAAAAGAGTGAAGGGAGAATTTGGGGCCGACGAGTTGGTTTGCTTGGGAGGGTTTAAGAATGTGAGGGGGGTTTATGATTGGAAAGGGCTGAAGTTGGAGCTTGATGAAACTTTATATGATTTTGGTGTTAGTTATGAGATTGAGTGTGAAAGTAAAGAGCCTGAACGTGATAAGAAGCTGATTGAAGGGTTGTTGGAGGAAAATGGGATTGATTATGAGTACTCTGATGTTAACAAGTATGCGGTTTTCTTGTCAGGGAAGTTGCCCACATGAGTGGAGTGGAAAAGTAATGTATTTGCATAAATATTAGTTTTTGATAGTAAATTTTGAGAATTTGTGCTATTTTTTTATCCATTGTGTATTACAATTTATGTTTATGTGGAATTTACTCACCAATCAGTTGGAATTTGTTCTCATTTTACTTGGGTTGTGGATACATATTGTTTCTTTCATTACTCGACTTACTTGTCATGACAAGAGTTATGCTTATCTGAGAGAAAGTTGTATTTTAATTCAACATTTTTTTGACTGATATTGTCAGATTTTCATCAGTTATACTCACATTGATTTGCATGACTCAGTGCCGAACAATGAGCAAGCAGTTGATGATTTGCTAATTTATTGATCAGTAATATAGAATTATAAGTTGCTATTTCTGCTAATTTTTTTTAATAGTATATATTCCTTGTTTTCAGTCACAATAATTTCGAAAAGTTCAAGGTATAAGAGATTCAAGGAGAAATATTTGAGGTTTTCTGATATAGGAACTTTTCCTCTGGAACATGCCATGCTCCTTTGTTGCCTTAAGATTGCTAATTTGGTTGCATAATATTACTCCATGTGCAATTTTAGAAGGCTTAATAAGATTCATCAAATTAATGTTTTGCAAGCACTTACATTTAGAATTTGTGAGAAGTGACGATAGCTGGTCAAAAAAGATACTGAGGAAGAATGCTGGATCCTGTTATGTAACCATATCAGAAGACTAGTTGGATAGTTTGTCTATTTTGGCGTGCAAGTGCTGTGTGCTTTCTGGATTTCTGGCTGCTTGGTTGAGACCAGAGATCATAATTTCAGTGATTGCAGTTTTGCTCAGTGAACTTAGGTGCTAGGAGAAATGTGGAGTACTGATTTAGGACGAGTTTGTGCAAAGCATAGAGGCAACACTATTAGCTTTCTTATTGTGAAGCTTTCTTGAGCTGCTTTTCCTTACAGCTTATGCAGAATCAAAACATCATACTCATTCTTGCTATTGCAGAGATGTAGATGCTGAAACAATTTTAAAAGTCATATCAAGTGTAGTTTAGAAATCCTGTCCCTACTTGTTTTGGGATAAGAATTATATTAGGAACTGTAAGATTGGTTCATTCTTCCCTGTATCTGTTCTGAAGAATAAAATGGTCAAACAAGAATCTTATTTCTCTCATCCTTTTTTCTTCGTGGTATAGATTTGTAGCATACTGGCTTTTGTCATTGGTTTTGAGCTGAAATTTTCTCTGTTGCATTCTAGTATCCTATTGCTGCATCTCCTTATGTGATTAAATTTGGTTGTTGTAACCCAATCTTGCATTAGCTTGTCTTCCCCGAGTCTATATTTTATGGCTAATTGGCTGTGACTTTCCTTGCTCAAACAGCCTATCTCAATTACCAAAACAAAAATACCATTCGGCAAATTTAAAGATTGGAAACAAGATCAATGCAGAAGCTCCCTGTATGGGAGTGATAAACCTGCCAGACCAGCCTCCAGAGGGGTTTCTCTGCTTCCCTGCATATATATGATTCTTGCCACACTGATCACATTGGTCTTGCTCCAATAGATCTTCTATTCCATATTTGCCCCCTCTATCTTGGCCCAGTTTTCCTTGATATAGAAGCTAATAGACACGCCATTGAAAGAAGGTGAACCCCTTATGCCCGTAATGGTTGGTACCTCTTCCTAGAGAAAATATGTGGACGTTTCTAGGTCATGTATACCTTGCTCCACAGACAAAGTCTCCAATTTCTTCAAGGAGCAATTTTCAGAAGAGTGGGTTCTCAATGACTAATGACATTGCATCTTGTTTTCTATAATGGCGGCCAACAAAGCAGTTGATTTTCTTTGCAGCAAATGTCTTCCACTGTTCATAATATCTCGTCCTTCCTCATATGGTACAAGTTATAATCAGACATCACTAAACTTTAAAATCAAGGAGTAGCTTAAAGGATTATTAGTATTAATTAATTCAGTTGTACCAAACAAATATTAATTAATTCAAATATAAAGTGACAGAACTCAAATTTTGGTATTGTTTGATAAAGTGGAAACGATGTTGTTAATATTAAAGCTATTATTTATTGAATTACTCAGGTTAAACTATATCTTTTATATGTTAATAATAAATAACATTATTTAATATGAAATATTCAGTTAATTAATAATATTTAATAGTATATAATAGTATTTAATACTATAATATTTTGTATTATTGTATATAATATGTTATGGTTCTATGAAATAAAAGATGCATTGCTTAACTGCCTAAGAATATAATTTTTTATTTTAATTTTTCTTATAATCTATTGATTTGATTTGAATACTTATGCAATATATCATAGTTAACATGAAAAACTGAACAAGAATATAATTAAAATATTTAAAAAATTTTAGTAATCTTATCTTATTTTTTCAAATTAAATAGACACAAAGTGATTGTTATGACCATTGATACGGATTTAGTCATAGATGAGTTTAAAAGTATAAAAACACATTAAGCACAGCTTATGATACATAAGATGAAACTCTAATGTTAATTTTTCTTTCTATTTTATGTCTATTTATATTGATGAATATGAGAATTTATAATTAAATTGTTAATAAAATTTTATGTTATAATTTAATTATTTCAAAAATGATTAATTTTATACTCTAAATCAAATTATTGACCCGATCCATTATTCTTTAGCCACTCCTCATATAAAATCTTGAATTCGCCACTCTGTTTTTTTTCTTAAAGAAATCGAATATATATATGGGATTATGGATGTTTTTATGTTCAGTTTTTTAACTAACATTTGTAAACCACGTTTCAGCAGGTGGTTATGTTCTTTTGTTTGTAGTTCTAAGCTATATGTAATATTTGTTGGCTTTCTTCAATGTAATGAGTGTGTTAACTTTATACCCTCTGTTCATCTCTGTTTTTTGTTGCATAACAGAGTCATTTACAGCAATCATTCATTTAAAAAATCACTCCACCAACAACCACAACTATTGCCACCACTACTTCTATAAACACAATCCACCAGCAAATTAGGATTATGAATATTATCAATTAAAATTTTTATAATTGGAGCTTTCATCTAAGTGAAAAATTGTTTCTTCGCATTCCCCTGTTCATGCTTTCTACTTTGAGTAATTAGAAATCTTCCAGATTTTGTCTCTCGAACCAAAACAAGATTATTCCTACAAGGCAAAGTCACATTGTAGAGACATCAGTTCGTATGCTTTGGGCTTTAGTATGGACTAAGTTACTAAACATCTAGAAAGGTAATTCACTAATATCTAGGATTAGAATAGAGTTAGGAAATTATATGATCTCCCCAAAATACTCCAACCCTAAACTCTAAAATTCCGAACACCGAAGCTTAATACGCCCAGATACTTTCAGAAAGCTTAATTTCTTCTTCATTCTGGCCATAGATTTATATAAAGCCAAACCAGGACATTGTAATTTTGTATGGACCAACAAGCAATGAATATTGAGCAAATCAATAGGGAATTTTAGTATTGTATTGAGTGGCATGGGCTAGGCTTCCTTTCTTGAATCAGAGCTTGCCCAGGTGTTGCCAATGAAATCTAGCCGTATATTATACAGTTTTTATTTATTTTAGTTATAATTAATAGCTTATCTGGTATTTTTTTTGCTTAATATTTTTGGGCTATAATATATATATATATATATATATATATATCAAGTAGTATTATTTCCTTTTACTGTAATTATAAATATGATGATATAGCCACAAAGCCCAAAAAGCCAAATACCATGAATACAATTTATGTTTCTTATTTTAGATTCCGTTATTTGCTGTAAGGATAAGGTTTTAGGATGAATCATAGAATGTTTTGCATTGAAAATTGTTGTTTTTCCCTGCCGTGCCAAGATTTTTTTTTTTTAATTTTGAAATTTGTTGTTTATAAATTTTAATTATAATGAAGGTTTAGGGATAATATATATATAAACACTGACTGTCTTCAGCATAGTGCACGGATAACATTCTAGTTGTTTGCTAATTTGAACCCCAAAGAGTTTCCATTATTTCTAGGCATAGACAAGGACACTTGCGGAGATTACAAATAGAGCTAATAGGCAGAAGATAGCTAATTCCAGAATTTGGTTGACAATTTTCGAAGAGTGTCATAAGCAAAATAATAGCTAGAATACACACAATGCTCAACAAAAAGGAACCATCTCCTTCGCCAGCGAGGGTTGATAGAGAGAACAGACACGAACCCTTGCAAAAGCATGATATATGTCACAACAAAAGTTGCATAGAAGACGGTAGAATCAACTTCAAACCATTTCCCATCAGTTTCATCTAAAGAAACCATTGACGAGTGTGGTGTCTCAGTGCAATTTTTGTTTAATGGCAGTCCACAAAGCAATGGATTTTCTTTATGACTACTCTCTTCAAATGTTGGGAATTGCTTCGTATCTGGAATTTTGCCAGATAAATTGTTGCCTGTCACATTGAAGACTTCTAAAAACATCAGGTTGGTAAGCTCCGCAGGGATTTGCCCACTCAAATGGTTAAAGGAAAGGTCCAAACTTTCTAAGTTTGTAAGGTTTGAGAAAGAAGTTGGGATGGATCCCACCAACCCGTTGTGAGATAAGTTCAGCGAGTGGATTGAGAATAGATTTCCCAATGCCGAAGGAATTTGTCCCCCTAGATTGTTGCATGACAAATCAAGTCCTAACATCAAATATTTTATGTCACACACATCAAATTTTCTCCTCGGGATGTTTTCCAAGAGAATAAAATTTTCCAAATATGCATATTTTTGGTATACCGATGGGCCCATGAACCTATCAGCAGTATCTTCTAGAAGGGAATGACTTTGATCACTACTCAATTTGCTTGATCTTCCCGAAGGTGATATTGGAGAAGCATAGAGGTATTGGTCCAGAAAAATGGTTGTTAGAAAGATCCAAGATGGTTATGTTTTCCAATTGATTACACAACTTCTTTGGAATTAAACCTCCCAAATAATTATGTCCGAACGAGAGAATTCGCAAGCTGCTTACTCTGCCAATAAAGTCCGGAATGCTGCCAGTCAATTTGTTGTCTTTAAGATTCAACACCTCCAAAGCCGAGAAATTGAGAAGAGCACTTGGCATGGGTCCGTAGAATCTATTCCCTTCCAAAGTCAGTAGCTTTAAACTTTGGTCAAAGCCACAAGGCAACGGCCCAGAAAGATTGTTGTAGAAAAGGTCCAAGTACTCCACAGATACAAATGGCTCTTTGCACGGAAAGTGGCCTTTAAAAGAATTCCTTCGCAGAGAAAGCACCCCTATAAATGTTAAGTTCCAAATCCAATCAAGAATTTCAGCTGTCATATAATTGTTGCTAATATCCAAAAGATACATCCAGAGGGAAAGTGTCACATTGTTCGCTAAACTTCCTGTGAACCGGTAGTTACTCAAGTCCAAGTACGCTAAACTACCCAAACTAAAGTAGTGGGCAGAAAATATATCACCTCGAAATTTATTATTTGACAGCAATAGGAATTTCAAGTTGGTGCAACATGTTACTAACTTCTTGGGTACTTATCCTTTGAAGTTGTTGTAAGACAAATCCAACGCCTCCAACTTATTTCTAGGGGGACAGATTGAGGATGGGAGATCACCTTCGAGATGATTATTGGACAAATTAATGTATCTTGAATTTGAGGGTATGGTTCCAAAATCTTCTTGAAGTCGCCCACTTAAGTCATTTCCTGACCCACAAAAGAGTTGTTCCTTAGATTTAAAAACTCTAACTCAGTGTTGTTTTCAAGTAACCAAGTAGGGAATGTACCCATTCAACATATTGTGAGAGAGATCAACTACTCTTAGTTGATGTTTTCAGATCACAGTTGGAGAGTTTCAGTAACTTTAACTGCCACAACAATGGATTTTGATCTAAATATTCAACATCTTGGATCTTTAATTTGTCGCCATCACAAGTGAGTGCCATTGTCTAAAGCTTAGAGTGATTTGCAAGCGACCTAATTGTGAATGAACCTTCGAAATGGTTATCACTAAGATCGATGGACCGAAGAGATTTTATATTGTTTAGGCATGGTGGAATCATCCCCTTCAAAACTATTACTGCTAAGATCTAACTCTTCAAGTCTCTCTAGTTCATATAAACCTAGTAACAAGAAAGAAATTTGTGTAATTAATCTCTATCCATAATTAACAAGCCTATTCACGAGACATTTACATGAAAAACATTTCTCAACTAATTCAACTTTGACCATATCCTTCATCTTAGCCATAAGGCCGAGAAAGGTGTAACTTTGACGAAAATCATTAGAAGATCTCTTAATGTATAAGTATATAATTTTTAAGTAATTTAATTGTGTACCTGCTCTTTTTGTAATTGTTCAGAACAGGCTTTTCTTATGATAACTTGCATGCCAACAGGAGTCTCCAAATCTCAACGTTGAAGACTCCTCATGGCATTCCAGCTTATTATTAATAAAAACTCATTTTTCAAAAAAAAAAAATTATGTACCTGGAATCAGTAAAGAGCCATTAAATGCATTCCTTGTCAAGGATAATGCCTTGAGCGAAGTTAGTTTCCCCAGATTTGAAGGGATATTCCCAACAATATTATTCCCTCCCAAATCTAATATCTCTAGTCTTGTTAAACTCTTCAAATCTGTCAAACATAAATTAAAATAAATTAAGTCAAATAAATTATTGATAAAAATTACTTAATGTTAATGTTTTTCATGAAAATACAGTTTTTTTTTCTGGCACATATTTCATATCTCATACTTTAAACGTACCTTGGATAGGAAAGGATCCTTCCATCCCATTTACAGCAAGATTAAGATGCTTAAGACAGGTAAGGTGGGTCAAGAACCATAGGGAACTCGTATTGGGCAACTCGTTATAAGATAGATCCAAAGTCTCCAGTTGTTCCAGCCGCAACAAGCTGCTACAACCTGAAATTAATTATTTATATATTACTACCTAGGATTATTAATTACTTACATGATTAATTAAGTCAAATAAATTATTGATAAAATACTAACGTACCTTCCTCCTCATTAATCCAGCCATTAATCCGATTGTTAGATAAATTAAGAACCTTTAGCTCCTTCAATGGCTGGAATATAGATATGTTAAGCGGAGATGGGATATTGTCTCCACAGTCTGATGTGCCGACAATTTAGACAAGTAAGAGCTCAACACTTAGCCACAATCAACACTGGAAACCTTAGAAATTCCTAGAGCAGCTAAACCAAAAAAATCCTAACTTTTATTCTACCAGCCAAACAGCTAGCCACAATCAACAACTAAACCTTTAAATCTCCAAAAAAAAAAAAACAAAGCAATGCAAAAAAAGAAGAAGGAAAGAAATAGGGGTCGGCAGCATGTGAAATATATATAAAATAATAAAAATGAACCTGTTTGTGGAGCATTAATATTAAAGGTACAGGAGGTGAAATTATTGAAATAGGAAGATCTAGGTAAAACAATGAAAATAAAATAAAATAAAAATAATATATATAAATAGGCAAATAGATATTCATATAAAGTTAAAAAAATGATGAATAGAAAGTATGTCTATGTATAAATATAGACGTAAGACTGTATAAGAAAGGAAAAAGTGAAATATCTAAAAATTATTTTCAAGGTAAACAAAGAATAATATGATAAATATAGAAATAGATAAATATGTAGTTGAAAGAAAAACGTATTTAGGTAGATGAAATATATATGTAAAGTAAATAAATGTTCAGTTATAAAATAATAATAATAATAGTGAATTAAAATATAAAAGGAAAATTTTAGTTATAAGAATAGGTATAAAAAATATAATAATAAAATAAAGAAAAGGAAATAGTACTTAGTTAATGGGTAAGAAAGCAAGACATATATGTAGGCAAAATATATATAATATTACTAATGGAGAAAATGTCAAATTATACCAACAATGGGATGTCCATTTGGATCTCGAGAAATCGTAATTTCGAATAAATTTTTTAAAGTTAAAGATTTTTATTAAGACTCTATCAGTATGATGGGAGGGTTTTAATTTTAAATAAATTCAGAAATTTATAATTTTAAATAAATAAAAATATATATTAACTTAATTACGAATCAAACAAAAATATAAAAAATAATAAAATACTAATGACAATAATAAACACAAGAAGGAATAAATGAAATGTATTGTTGTAAAATGTATAAGGCTATGAAAAATGATGATATTCATAATGATAAATAGATAGCAAAATTAAAATTTTGAAAAATAGGAAACTCATAATAATGATGAATATAACTAAAATATAAAAAGCAGATGTATATAATCATAAAAATTAGACTTATGGGAAAAGAAAACGAATAGTTTGTCAAAAGAAAATAGGTTAGGCAAATTTAAAAAAAAAAGAAATTGAGTAATAAGACATATACACATAAATAATAATAATTCCAAAATAAAATGTTTGATTAAAGAAATAGCTTTTAGGTATAAGGAAAATGTACATAGCAAATAGATAAATACTAAAATATGTAAAAATATGTAATAAAATAAAATTAGATAAAAACAAGTATTTATGCATGATATACATATACATATAATTTTTAAAGAAATGACAAAAGGGGTTACATCCTTACATCCTTCCACAGCATTTTGTACTTAATGATTTTTAAACAAATCAATAGTTAGAATTTAAAACATATTTATACGCATCATGCCCCTAAATTTGTAACAGATATTTAAGTGACCAAATACAAAAGTACATACTCAAATTATTATAATGATATCGATATGATGGTTAAATAATAAAATATAAAGAGACAAAAATTGTGTGAAACTAATATTTGTTACATATAGAGCAGTGTACCTTGATCAAAGAGGGATCCTTCAGATTGAGGTACTCCAACTTACTCAGCCTCGAAATATTTTGTAGATTTGAGAAATTATAAAGAATAATTAATGATGGCCAATCGAAGTTGTTTTTTTTTTTTAAAAATCATATTTGATTAATAAATAGTTGAAAGGAACACATCAATATCGATTTGAGTTTGTTGTCATAAACAATCTAATTATAGACTCGTTGTGATATACCACTCAATAATTACTGAAGATTTCAAGCATTTGTACCCTTTTGTCCACTTACCCTGCATTGTTAGAAAGCCTTCAAGCGAATTGTAGCTTAAGTCCAACGTCTCCAAATTTTCAGAAACTGATGACTCTGCAGGAAAATGTTGGCATGTTGTACACGTGAATGTTATTCTTGCATGTACAATATTGTTCTTTTGATTGATTTGATAATAGCAATAATATTAAACTAAAATAGTAAATTATAAAATAAATATGTATGTACATGTATTTTATTATTTTTATTATTATAATTATGTAAATCATGCATGTACTACCTTGGACAGGAAAGGATCCTCCCATCCAATTTCCAGCAAGATTAAGATGCTTAAGAGACGTGAGGTGGGTGAAGAACCATAGGGAGCTCCTATTCCACAACACTTTATAGGATATATCTAAAGTCTCCAGTTGTTCCAGTTGCAAAAAGCTGCTACAACCAGCAATTAATTAATTATATATTACTACCTAGGATTACTAATTACTACATGATTAATTAAGTCAAATAAATTATTGATAAAATACTAACGTACCTTCCTCCTCATTAATCCAGCCATTAATCCAATTGTTAGATAAATTAAGAACCTTTAGCTCCTTAAATGGCTGGAATATAGATATGTTAAGCAGAGATAGTTTATTGTCTCCACAGTCTGACGTGCCAACAATATCGACAAGCAAGAGCTCAATTACGTGACCAGTGTGGTTGGCACATGTGACTCCCTCCCACAGGCAACAGTCGCTCTCGGGATCATCCTCAACCCATGAAGGGAGAACATGGTCTGCATTGTCTGGGCAAGATGATTTGGCATATGCCTTGAATTGTAACAGACTCACCCTCTCCTCCATGGATTAGGGCTAAAAGGATGAGAACCAACAACAACTTAGCCATTTAGGATTTTCTGATGAAAATCTCATGTTGGTGCAAGCTTTACATATAGAAAACTCACCAAGGAGCCTCAACGTTATTCATGTTTTCAATAGGACACGTCACCCCGTTTCCTACGTTTTGTTGACATTGCCGAAAGTATGCTTCTAATTTTTTCCATGCTCTTTTGACTTCTTACAAGAGCGTTCATGCAGTGGAATTCTTAAACTTAGGTTTCTTCTTCCTTCCTTCCAACAGATTTCATCTCAGTGAGAAAGAAATTTCCCGCTTTTTGAAAGAAAATATTTTAAATAATCATGCTGCTTTACATAATGACTTTACATCTTGTTTTCAATAATGGTGGCCAACAAAGCAGTTGATTCTCTTTGCAGCTAATCTCTTCCACTGTGCATGATATATCTTGTGCTTCCCTAGCTATATGCTACAAGTTATAATCAGACATCACTAAAGTTTAAAATCAAGAGTAGTTAAAGGATAATTAGTACTAATTAATCCAGTTGTACCAAAATAAATGTTAATTAATTCAAATGTATTTGGACAGAACTCAAATAAAGTGAAAATTATATTGTTAAACATTAATAATTTAATAATATTAAATCTATTATTTATTGAATTGCTCAGGTTAAACTATTTATTTTTATCAATAATAATAGCAAATAACATTATTTAATATGAAATATTCAGTTAATTAATAATATTTAATAGTAATGCTAACTAATATAATTTTAAAATTATATTAAACAATTTTGATGCTAAATAATATTATCTATTAGATAATTATATTGTATCATGTCAAGTATATCTAATTACCAAACAATTTTATATAATTTTTAAAATATTTTATATTTAATTAAGTGCTTTTAAATTTAGTAGTATTTTGTACTAGTTTTATAAATTACTTATAACTTTATTATAAAAATCTTTCATGTAAATGATTTTCAAAATAAATTATCAAATGCATAAAAAGTAACTCATTGAAACTATTTATTTTTAGTGGTATGAAAAGTTTCAATAATTTCTAACTATCAATAACTATCTTTAGGAAAATTCAAAGTTTAAAATTTAACTATACCTAATTTTCTCTTTGAACTTCCTAATTGATAAAAAAAATAAAAATTTAAAGAAAATTATGTTCTGACTTGCTGCTACCTGCTAGTTTTTATTTTTGTGATTGCTGCTTGCTAACTACTTTTATATAAAAGTATAAAAATAATAAAACAAAATAAAAAATTCTGACTAAATATTTGATTGAAAATTGATTAAAATAGTTAATTATTGACAAAACATTCCTTTGATAAATTCAGCACCAAACAAATGTAGTTGACACCAATGACTATTTCGATTACATTCCAATCATTGCATTTCCATTGATAAGTTTCCTTGAACAACCCTCGTAAAAAAGTGAACAACAGATCTTTATTATGATTAATGTATTATGAAATTTCAAAAAACAAATCCTCAAAAAATGATGAAATAATTTTCTCTAGTTACAAGCTTGTCTTTTGTTTGTGGTAGCACCTAGTCTAGTCGATTTTTAAAATATTTTATATTTAATTAAGTACTTTTTAAATTAGGAGTATTTTATATTAATTTTATAAATTACTTATAACTTTTTTTGGAAGTGTAAATTATTTATAACTTTACTATAAAAATCTTTCATGTAAATGATTTTCAAAATAAATTATCAATTGCATTAAAGAGTAAATCATTGAAACTATCTATTTTTAGTGGTATGAAAATTTTCGATGGTTTCTAAGTATCAATACCTATCTTTAGGAGAATTCAAATTTTAAAATTTAAATATACCTAATTTTTCTCTTTGGACTTCCTAATTGAGAAAAAATTAAAGAAAATTATGTTCTAACTTGCTACTATCTGCTAATTTTTATTTTCGTGATTGCTACCTGCTAACTACTTTGATATAAAAGTATAAAAGTAATAAAATAATATAAAAAAATTTCGACAAAATATTTGGTTGGAAACTTATTAGAATAGTTAATTACTGACAAAATATTCCTTCAATAAATTCGGCACCAAGCACATGTAGTTGACACCAATGACTATTTCCACTACATTCCAGTCATTGCATTTCCATTAGTAAATTTCTTCAAAAAATGATGAAATAATTTTCTCTAGTTACAAGCTTTTGTGTTTTGAATGTGGTAGCATCTAGTCTAGTGGATTCTTGCTTGTGGACTACGGCCATATGTTCTGCTGCTTAGAGGGAAATTGCATTTTGCAAAACAGGAGGCTTAGATACAACTAATCTAGCTAGAGCTGAGAACGTGTTACAGACTTCTATGGCACTATTTTTGTGGAAATTATTGACCCTAAGCAAAGCTGTTTGTTGAATATTAGTTGTGGAAAAATAAGGTTTCTGTTCACAAATACTATGAGACTATCATGGTTTGGTGTCGCACGCAAAGCTCTCCCGATGAGACGACCCAAAGATTAGCTGGACCTGCAATCCTTTCCAACAAGCATAATGAGCTTCGAGCCATTGGAAGGGTCAGTTGCACCACAAGACGCGGCCAACCCCAAAGAGAAACATCAGTCTCTCCCTTGGTTGCTGGTGACGAAGTTAGTGGGTTGCCTAGACTCGTCAATTCTCCCTTTGTTGATTTTAGCAGTCATCATTTTGAGTTTGAAAGTTTTGCAAGTGTTGTCCATTGAAGTTTACGAACAAAAACAAAAGAGTTAGGGTGAGGCATGTGATTTGTTTCGCAAAGTCAAAGATTACAAAAGAGGACCCTTGCCTGCAGGTCACACCAGTCTACTGCACCCAAATTCAGGAATAATGGTTCCCTTGAATGGGGAATGGGAATGCAAGCAGGAACCCACATTTTGTACGGATTGACAATACATGTATGTAAGCTTTCTTTCTAATTATAGGACAACTCTTTCGGCAAGTAATAATCAATCTTAGGTTGAATAAGTCACAAATACTACAAGTTATGGAGTTTGGCCATTGTATTCTAACTTTCCTGGAAACATCAAACCGACCATTTCGTGTGTATCTTTGACTAATGATAGTTTAAACTGTTGAAGTTAATGCTTGCATGTGTCAAGAGGACAAAATGACAAGCGACAATCCACTTGGACGTCATGCATGTTTGTATGTGTCTTGCTTAACGTTGAAGACCACTACATATAGCTGTGCATGTTAGCATGATAAGCATGTTTTACACTTGTTTCTCATGTATTAACAAGTGTTATGTCTGTTGATGATTTGTGTTAATGAAGCTGTGTATATATTTGTTTAATATGAATGAAACTAGTGTGGCCTTCTCTCTTTGATCATCTCCGTTTAAGAGATATAAAACAGAGTCTCTTTCTCCCAAAATTATAACATAAACTTCAAAGTTACCATTTCCGCAGTAGTTCAAGCCACACCATCGAGTTAGATCCAAATCATATATAGAAATACATGATGTCCGATATGAAATTTCATTGGCAGAGGGAAACCAACGTTCCTTGCAAGGAGTGTTATCTTTTCCAATCTTGATTGAAGGTAACTTTTCATACTTTACATCCTCGAAGACTTATAAATAGAAATACACTTTTGCTAAGCATGAACTCAGAAGTTGACTTACTTGACTTACAACCTTTGAAGACTGATAAATAGAAATATATACAAATTGTTTCTCTCATTACTTGACTTACTTGTCATGACAAGAGTTAACCTTATGAGATGCTTATCTTATCTGAGAGAAAGTTGTATTTGGATTCAACATTTCTTTGACTGATATTGTCAGATTTTCATTAGTTATACTCACATTGATTTGCATGACTCAGTGCCGAACAACGAGCATGCAGTTGATGATTTGCTAATTTATTGATCAGTAATGCAGAATTATAAGTTGCTATTTCTGCTAATTTTTTGTAATTGTATATATTCCTCGTTTTCAGTCACAATAATTTCGAAAAGTTCAAGGTGTAAGAGATTCAAGGAGAAAATATTTGAGGTTTTCTAATATAGGAACTTCTCCTCTGGAACAGGCTTTGCTCCTTTGTTGTCCTAAGATTGCTAATTTGGTTGCATAGTATTACTCCATGTGCAATTTTAAAAGGCTTAACAAGATTTATCACATTGCTGTTTTGCAAGCACTTACATTTAGAATTTGTGAGAAGCGACGATAGCTGGTCAAAAAAGATACTGAGGAAGAATGCTGGATCCTGTTATGTAACCATATCAGAAGACTAGTTGGATAGTTTGTTTATTTTGGGGTACAAGTGCTGTGTGCTTTCCGGATTTCTAGCTGCTTTGTTGAGAACAGAGATCATAATTTCAGTGATTGCAGTTTTGCTCAGTGAACTTGGGTACTATGAGACATGTGGAGCACTGGTTTAGGACGAGTTTGTGCAAAGTGTAAAAATAGAAAAATAATATAAAGAAATTCTGTCGAAAATTGATTAGAATAGTTAATTAGGGATGATATATTCCTTCTATAAAT